TATTTTTATAAGTAGTATAATTAGTTTTCTATTATAAAAAAGTATAATACTATATATTCTACGTTATAGTTAGCGTATATAAAAGAAACTAAGATAGTACTTATACTTTAGTAAGTATAAGCGCGTTTTAGTAAGTTTTAATATCTAAGATATTAATAATATACGCTATTCTATTCTTAGATATTCTAGAAAATATTAGCACTACTACTATTCTAAATATATAAGTTATAGTAATAGGTTTTATCTAAGAATTAAGTTATTTTTACTTAGATATCTATATAATAGTCTTAGAACTAGATATATACTACTAATATATAAGATCTAGCTAAGTTATATCTAAAGTTAATATACTATAGCGTCTTTAGAATTATTACTATTAAAAGAAGTATTAGACTTATTTAATAAGAGTAAAGAATCTAGTTCTAGTACCTAGTTTTATTAGACTAAACCTAGAAGTATCTACTTTATTAGCTACTTACTAGCTCTTCTTCTTTAGAATAATTAATTACGTTCTATATAAGTATTAGCAGCTCTAGCATTAATACGCTATTAGATACTTACTTAAAGTTAGAGTCTATCTTATTTTTAAGAATAAGTTTCTTTAAATAGGTTTAAATTAAGTTAAATTCTAACGTAGCTTAACTTAATAACTTTATACCTAAATAAGATAGTATACTATTTATATAAATACGCTTATTTAATATAAATATAACTAAGGTAGATTACTTAGTTAAGACTAGTATTATTATAAATAGACTATAGAATATAATATCTAATCTATAGTTATATAGTATAGACTAGCTCTAGCTTAACTAAAATAAGTCTTACTACTATAGTAATAAGAATATATAGAGTTTAGGTAACTAAGTAAAGAAGCTAAATTATAACTAAAATAAATTAAATACTAATAAAAGTAGTAAAAGTAAAAGTATAAAATAGTAGGCTACTAAATATAAAAGTACTACTTCTTAAAATATAGGTAGAGCTAGACATAATTACGCTAGGTATAGACTTAGTATATACTCTAATATAGAAGTATTAATACTATATATATATATATACTAAGTATAGATAGAGAGTAGTAGTTATAGTAGATTAGAACTAAGTTAAAACTAAGTTAAAACTAAGTTAGAACTAAGTTAGAACTAAGTTAGAACTTAGTTAGAACCTAGTTAGAACTAATAGCTAGTTAGTCTACTAAATAGTAACTTAGTTCTATCTAACTTTATAAATAAAGACTGCGTAGCTACTATAAGTAGTCTAAGTATAATCTAAACTATAGCTTTATCTTCTAGACACTATTATAATATTAAGTTATAACTAAGTTAACTTTTAGTTATAGTAATAAGCTAGGCTAATAGTAGTAGACTATTATCTTATATAATATTAGCTTAATAATAAGAATAGCTATATAAGTATACTTATTATAATATAATATAAAGCTATATAGTAAAGCTAAATATACTAAAATATAACTAAGTTAAATATAGTATATAAAGTATTAGTAGAGTAATAGAGGTACAAAACTTAAAAGCTAGCTAACTTTAGAATTTCTAAAGTTAGCTTACTAGTGTCTAATTTTATCTAATTAAAGGTTAGCTAACTAAAGTCTAGAGGTTAGCTAAACTACACTATTAAATAAGAGGAAGCCGCGGATAGAGTGAAGAACCTTAGAATAATCTCTGGACGGAAGCGGCGCTAGAGCGGAACCGGATAAGCGGCTTCCCCGACGGATTGGCCTCAAGTGCTGCCGCTGCCGACCCCATCCGTGACCCCAATCATCGCATCGCATCACATCACATCAGCGACTGCAGCATCGACCAGGATACGAATGCCATGGAGAACTGCAACTATTGTTTTCTTGAGGCCAACTGTTTGCCAACCAATACGGCCACCGCATGCTACAGCCAGAACTTGCAGAAACATTTGCCATCCAGCAATCTAAAGTCGTCCGCAGACATTCAAGTATCGACTTTGCTAGCAGATGATTAAAGTGCAGTAATGTCTGTCATTAAGTTTGTTACATCGGAAACACAGCTCAAGAGCCAGAACCTCACGTCAAACCGTCTACATCGTTGGCGCCGGAGATTTTGCTTCATGCTACACGATGATAAGAAGCAATCGACAGGCCGGGATGTATATCTTGAGTCTGTGCAATGTCGGTTATCAGGTCGCATTCTTCGCATCACCAGAATCAGTCTGTCTTGAGTCTTCTTACGAGCATTGAAACAAAGAGTCGAACAATGTTCGACTCCTTTGTTTCCTTGTCGCCTCGGCCTCCACACACTCCTCTAGATGTGCGGTCCTCCTGTTGTATACACAGTGTCTTTAGTACACATAACGGCGAGTGAAAACAATACTGGCCAGCAGGTGCTGAACTTTCACTCCACCACGGTAAACTCCCCTTCTTTCGATTTGATATTATCCCACGAATCTCAACTTCAGTGAGCACAACTCAACTGTCTCACCCCTGACCAGCCAAAGCAACTGTTTTACCCTATACTCAGGCTGCATTGATACCATGTCTCCAATCACATTCACGCGGGACGAAGTCCAGGATATGCTCGACCGAGCACAATTAAATGCCGGCCATCTCTTCGCGAACCTCCCAGACGTGCGCGAACTGCTTCAAACACAGCATCAAGAGAGCCTGATGGAATGCAACTCCCGGGGTATTAATCAAATGAAGGTGCTTCATCAATCAATGCATGAGGAGTGCAAGATCATCGATGGCCACAACAAACACCGCCTTGGGAAGGCGAGAACCGCCTTCAATGATCGCGTTATCGACCCCATGATTGCTGTAGAATACAGGGAAGAAGAAAATATCCCTGCAGACCTCCGGTGGTATCCACTACACGCTGAGGTTGCAATCCACGATGGGTACGCTACAGCTCATCTCTTTGATCAGCCTGAAAGTGACGAAGAAGACTACCAAAACTATCCAGAAGACCAACCTGCCTTCATTGGAAATGGAAACGAATCCCCAATTCCTGTCGCTAACCAAGACATTGCTTCCAGTAAGATTGTCAAAAGGAAACCGATTCCCGAAGGAAGGAAATCCACAGGCCCCGGTAGCCCAAAATATGATAAATTGAAGGATGCGCCTTCGGCTTGGCTAGATCTTCCCCATGGCAACCTAACTTTGGCAGAAACACTTGCTTTCATTCCGCATGCCATCAAATCCTTCGACATCATGGACCGTTTTCTCCACAATGGCGCCCTATCGGGGACCTTTGCAGACATGATTAACCATTACCGAGACATGCCGTACGGTCCGATCACGAACAATACGGTATATCGGATGATGAAGGGACCAATGCTCCATCGCGCGAAGACCGAGCCGACTTACGAGGATTGGACAGTATCCAAACATACGACTTTACCGAAACCTGCTGGATTTAATCCCACCAGTGTCAGCGTAGCAGGCTTTGCCCCACCTTACAACTTCAACTCCCGTGAAAGGGCTGTGGCAACCACTCAGTCCCCTCCTAGCATTCCCTTTCGCGATATGGCAAACGGAGTGAAGATCATGCCTTCGGGACATGATGCGCTAGATCTTACACGATGTGTGCAGTATTGCGTGAAGAATAACGATTCGAGCTGGCAATATCCTCAAGATTTCCAGAACCTGGTTGCTCGACTCGGGGGTGCTTCTACTGTGCACCCACACCATCACGACGATGCTGCAATTCGGAGACACACTTCCGAAAAGAAGCGGAACAATGCGAAGCGAGCCGGTGCACGACAGCGTGATAGGAATGGGCGCCTCATGAAACAGCCGAAGAACTTCGTGGTTGACTCGGATGAAGAAGAGATACTGGATGAAGACTCTGGAGAGGAGTCTGAAGCAGATCTAGATAACTTCGATTTTGATGCTTTGGACATTGACGATGATGAGCCAGTCACTACCACTAAGCAGGGTTCGAGGCGTAAGAACGTAATAGAAGATGACACGTCGGACGAGGATGAACTCATGCCGCGCACCCGTAACTCATCGAAACGCAAGCGTACTTCCAACAAAGACAACGCAGACACCTCACCGAGGCAAAAGTCCAAGCGAAGCAAGAAGACGTCGTCAAGGACGCCTGCACGTCGCTCACCGAGGACCCGGTCGTCATCACGCCTTAACAAAGAGGCGGTGCCTGAAGCGCTCGACTCTGACTCTGATTCTGATTCTGACGCTTATGCCGGACCCAAGAAGCGGACAAAGAAGGCCAAAGCTAGCACACGATCGTCTCCTCGCGGCCAGCGCTTCAGTGGCTCATATAACTTTAAGAACGCCCTAGATAGCGAGGAAGAAAAAGATAACGAAGCGGATGAGAGTGAAGTGGAACACACTCCGGCTTCGAACAGGCGGATTCTCACTCCGGCGGAGATGCGTATGGTTGGCCGCACTGGAAATGCGGGTGTAGACAACGTTGTTAAGCATGACGAAAGCGATGCGGGAGAAGATGACGAGGACTTTGATTGGTGAGTTGAGAGCGATTCACGTCGGCGGCATTACAATGGAATGTAACATGTCTTTTCTTTGCGACAGTGCATCTTTCTAGGCCTGTCTCCTGTTGTGGCATCATATGGCCTGTATAGATCGAGTAAATAGGGCTATATTTATGGAATACGCTTGATGTCTTTAAATGAATATCGTTCTCTTCATCAGCGCACTACTCATAGTGGTTGGTCACGGTGAAAGCATGGTACTGTCTTCGAAGACGAATATGCTCTGTGACCTCACCGTCTTTCCCATTTGTGCCAAATTTTGACTGGCCCAGTTTCCAAATACGGTAGGGACAGCAATTGTTCGCTAAGACGGTGAGGAGGTGCGCGCTAAGTCGTTGCCTTGGCAATAATTGAGTCCACGCTCACTTTTGTCCAACCCACAAAGGCAAACTGAGTTCTCACACTACAGTTACACTCAATCCTCTCTGTTACTTCAATCCAAATCGCCTTGCACGCAGAAAACACCAATCCGGAAGTACCGGCGGCGAGCTGTCGGCATCATGGCTTACGGTTCGGTCGCCACGCTGAGTACTGTCGAGACCAGAACTGGTAGCAACGAACCTGCCGCACCGTCTTCGAGACAGCACAATAGGCTTCATGGCTATGGCCAACTTGTGGGCGTCTCTAGCGTTCCACTCATCGGCTCAGAGCGTCCGAATGCTCCAGGTAGACTTCACTTGAACATCCACCGATCTTGCACTAACTCCGCACAGTTACGACTATGCTTCCCCGAGCCGTCAGCGTCCCGCAGTCTTCGCGTCCAGTAACTACGCCAGCCGACGAGTATGCCAGACTCACTCGCAGGCAGCGCCGCGACGCCAGAGAAAAGAAGCGTATCCAGAAGGCCGCACGGGCCGCTAGAGATGAACTCTACAGGGCCAGACAGGTCGTCAAGGATGCTCAAGAGGTAGCTAGAGTTGCGAGGGTACACGCTTCTAGATACTCCTACATTCCAGCGCCCAGAAACACCAGGGCAGTCTCTTCGACTCCACGTACTGTCAATGTGAAGGGCAAGAAGTCCAAGAGCAAGCCTTCAAGCTCGGTTCATTCAGCCCCCACGGACATGGACGAAACCTGGTCTTGGATCAAGGAGAGTTCGTCAGCAGCCTCTCAGAATGGCAGCGCGCATGCTCGTCACTGATCTCTTCGGGCACCTCGGTGGATCGGATTTCGTCATTGCTATAAGGGTGTCTTTTCTGTGAAGGAAGAGGATCTTTTTAGCTGGGTACAATACGTCGAATGTGTCTACGCTTGGAGGAAGAGAGCCTGATATTGGGCGTTGTTCTGCGGAGTGTCAGTGGCCTGGAAGCTTGTCTAGCAAGCTACCCATGCAGGAGGGGACTTCCGCATCTTTGCCCCCGAGGTGGACAAGCAATTTACAGCTTCGTCTCACATCTCAGAAAAGCAAAAATGTGAAACACACCACCGAACCGAAGATCTTGTGGGGCGAAAATCGTGCATTACATACACTGTGAAGGCTAGCGCTAGTTCGTAGGTGGCCTGCAGTCCACTCATGCAGCCGCGATGTGAATTGCGCCTGCTGTCCCCGGGCCCGCGCCCGCCACCCCCGCTTACTAACCCCAACCTGACCCCCAATATCAGCTGCCTTGCAATTTTCTTCCTGCTTCCTCCCTCTTATCTTGCGCTCTCATAATCGCGTTTCTCGCTTGTGATGCGCGTTTTATTTTGCGGCGGTAGGCACGGCGCTGCCGACGATGCCCGGGCCCGCTTTCGGCGATAGCGCCTACCTGATTGCCCGAAGAGCAAGTCACCACCCACTGCCGCTACTGTGAACCATGGAAAGCAGTCAATCGACACGCGCGTTTAGAAGGTCCTTACCGGGATACAAACCCTTTCTCCCTAGGTAACATCACACTCTTAATTCTACGTCGTCGCACAATGGGGCAACTCTCTCGTTTGTCTCTCACGTCCACCACTGCCTATTGAGGTCATTCTCACCATGGTGAAAACGGAGGACGTGAGAGGATCATCGTATAGCTCGGCGTACAATAGCTTTGTGGCTTTACATCACCACCCCGAGGGCTCAAGACCTCAATGCGAGCCTTGGATTACAACTCAACCAGACCGTCAAAAGCTACACTCCGACAACGCCGACAACGCCCACGACATCCACACCACTACGCATTGCGCAAAAGAGCCACTATCACCAACCATCTGGCTGCCTCACTATGGCTCCAGCTCATTTACACTCACAGCGCGTTGGGAACCCACACAACTATGGTTTCCGCAAGTCGAAGAGAACAGAAGACGCACGCGCAGTGCCCAGCTACCAGCAGAAGACTCACTTCCACGGCTACTTCAACGGCACCCCGCCATCCGATCCACCTCATATAGCGCCGATCATTCCTACACAACAAAGACGAATTCCGCTGGCGCCCTACTTTCATGAAAATGTTGCGATGAATGCGCAGGTTGCGGCGTACGAAGATGCTGTCACCACTAGAGTCTGGCGTAACGAGTGGGAAGTCGTGCCAGAAAACTTTGGCCCATGTCGACCTCTGCTCCTTCTCAACCGGCCTGCGAACGTCGACCTAATGAGTCACACATGGGAAACGGAGTCAGTTCATCTGTGTCATTGGGATCAATACCACGAGCCAGAAGGCGTGCTTTCTCAACGCCTGGCAAAAGAGAGAAGGATTAGGAAAAAGAAGCTGCTCTTGGGAAACAGCAGATTCGAGCAAGATAAGAGACGCAAGAAGGTGAAGCTGGCAGCTGCGACTGCGGAGGTTATCGATTTGACTCAAGATAATACTGTTGAAGGTGGAAACTTCCCGAGTTATGCTGGCATCAAGGAAGTTTGGAACTATCCGCCAGGATATTTTCCCAGCTGAAAGGGCGTTTGAAGCTGCTAGGCCTCTGAGTCCGGCATTGGTACGCCTTTAATCATGGCACATTCAGAAAGTCTTGGAGATATTATACGAGATCAGCATGAAAGCCATATCATATTCACTTCCTTCAGAATGCCCTCGTTCTTCAATCTTTTCAAGGCGACGACTCTAGGCGCAGAAATGAAACTCTATTATCGAACATACTAAGAGATACGAAGTCTTGGTAGAATAGGCTTCACCGCAACGGTCAGTGAAAGTTAGTTCACTCTCTTCGTATTCACTCTGCTTGCTGTTGCGCCTCAAGTATATCAACCGCTCTACTCTGCCCTTGGCACAGACCCACCACCTCGCAACTTACCACCACTCTCGCTAGAATCTACTAGAATCTACTGTAACTATCCCGAAGATAGTATGAGTTTCACGGAGCCTGATACAAGCTACACGCCATTACCACACGGAAACGCAATGCAAGCGGGCCCTGGAGGTTCGCCTGCGCCACATCAACTCCCTAGAAAGAGGGGCGATGACACAGCAGTGCCGAAAGCTCCTGCGAGAGGAAAGCCTCGCGCTCAATTCCTGGTTGACATTCCGGCCCACGAGTATAAGCTGCGTTGCGATAGGCCAATCAATGCAACTCTCGTAGACCTGATTGTAATACTCCCACAATGGTTCCGCAATCCTGCTGTCGCATACCGCATGCTGAACAACGGCATCACTGCTGCAGTTCACTTTGCAATTCTGGACAAGCATCGTCACCTCGGCTTGACCAGTTCCGAGGAAGCAGAGCGCGCCCGTGACCATATCTCGGACACATATCGAAAGACGATGCGAAGAACCTACCCAACCTGGACCAAAGCGAAGCATCACGTCCCAGGTAACTGGGATAAGTCGGAGATGTGCATCAACAATTTCCTTCCGGAAGCTGCAAAGAAAGCTGATTATGTTCCACCGCCATCAATACCGTTCAAGAACTTAGCGATTGGTCTGAAGAGTCTGCCCGTGAATGACGACATGGGTGATCTTACTCGCGCATTGGACTTCGCGCTGCGGTACCAGAAGCTTGATGAGCACGGCCAGCTGACGGACTTCATGTTCCCGGATGATATCCAGATCATTCTCGGATGCATTGGTACCGTTCAAACTACCCGAGAGATTTACGATGATGCTGTTATAAGTCGATACTCCGAAGCGGTTCGAGTGGCAGAAAGTGAGCGTCGTAAGCAGCTGAATGAACAGCGGCGCCAGCGACAGGCTGCCGAGGAGGAGGCTGCTCAGTCCGTTCCCTATTTCTACCCTGGTCAGCCTTCGCCACTTGGAGCCTTTCCGATGGATCCACTGGCTCAACAGCAAATGCAGCCGACGGTCGGCTTCTCGTCCTGGGATGAAGGGTACAGCAGCATGCCTCCGACGGGAATGGGCGTCTTAATGCCGAATGCTGTGCAGCATCCACCGGTGATGGAAGCCAACTCCCAAGATCTACCCCAGTGGCCTCCACAGATGCAGTCACATCCTCAAGAGTATAACGGGTTGAACTTCAATGAGCACAGCTATGGCCACCCACTCCGGCCGCACCCAGCACGCTCGAACTCGCAAGAAGCCGCTGCAGCAGTAGCATCAGAGCTCGTATACCAGGCTTCTCAGCCAGCCCATGTGGACTTGCCCGCCATCCCCGATATCTGCATACCCGAAGGCTATGTACAGGACGACAACGCTTTCCCCGATTCTTGGTTGTACCTAGATTCCCAGGAAGCAGCAGGGCAAATGGATGCACTCATGGCAGCAAACCAGACATTTGACTACAGCGACGTGGAGCGATTGGCGTCGACGTCGCTCGTACCCCGATTTAATTATCATCCTAGCATGCCTTTGCTGGATTGTCCGGAGGCGCAAGATCCGAAGGATTGGGGCGAGCTCGCTCGTGCGGCGCGATGGGCACGGACTCATGCGTATCCTGATGGCCGTGAGTTCACGGTCGGGGATATCGATGCTGTGTTAGCTTATTTCGAAGGTCCGGGGGCGCAGTGTGATCAAGACAGAAGTTGATCTGCTTATCGGAATTTGATGCGTAAGTGATCTGAGATTATACCTGATTGCCGCCTCGTTAGGAATTCATGTGAAGGCGGAGATCAGTTAAGATGTAAATTCGCCTTGAGCGATACTGTTTCCCAAAGATGGAACGTTAATACACGGTCGAAATGGGATAACATCAGTTCTGCGACGCAACTTTCTTCCGCTTGGTGTAATATGCAGTGATTCTGACGGGTCTGGCATTGGCGCGTTTTGCGCACGAGTCTCTAAGGCTGACACGCATCTTGCGTGACGTCGGCTGGTATCCCTCTTTCCTTCTCAGGTCAGTCTCCGTATAAGGCTGCAAGATTAGTATGTACATTCGACTATGACCTACAACTACTTTCGTGCAATCCATCCACTTGTCTGTGATCGATACCCAACCACGAAATTGGACCACCTCAGACTGCCTCGTCCAACGCATTCGGACCACCAATATGCGGGCTCTTCGCTACTATGGGGCCGAGGACATGCGTCTGGAACACGACGTTCCAGAGCCGATATGCGATGCCCATCAAGTGAAGATTCGACCTTCCTTTTGTGGGATCTGCGGGTCCGACTTGCACTTCTACTGTATACCGGATGCTCTTCCTTTCAAAGACACGCCTCATCCGATCACCGGCGACACATGGCCTGTGACTCTCGGGCATGAGTTTTCTGGGGACATCGTCGAGGTCGGAGCGCAGGTGCGCAAAGGTCTCAAGGTTGGAGACAGAGTGGCCGTCCAGCCCACCATTTGCTGCAACCAGTGCGTTTCGTGCAAAGGCGGCTTTACCAATTGTTGCGATTCGTTTGGGTTCGTGGGAATCATGGGTTGGGGAGGTGGGTTATCGGATCGGGTGTGCGTAGATGCGCAATTCGTGTTCAAACTGCCTGAGAAGATAACGTCAGAGATCGGAGGTAAGACAGTTGGGAAGCTCACTTGAGGTAGGGAGTGACACTAACAGATTGGCGTAGCTTTAGTCGAACCGCTTGCAGTTGCTTGGCATGCTATCGAGCAGTCGGCCGCCAAAGCAGGGGACAGCATCTTGGTTATCGGCGCCGGGCCGATTGGTTTGGCCATTCTCCAATGCCTGAAAGCCTTGCATACTGCCCAGGTGATCGTTGCTGAAGTTGCTCAGAAGCGAAGGGACCTGGCTCTACAGTTTGGAGCTACGGCGGCGATCGATCCGACGGACGAAGATATGGTCTCTAGATGTAAGACGCTTTGCAATGACCAAGGCCCTGACGTTGTTTTTGACTGCGCTGGAGTAGCTGCCAGTATCAAGTCCGCGTGTTTATCGGTCCGAAGCAGGGGAACGGTAGTGAACGTTGCCCAGTGGGGCAAAGACATCCCCTTCAAACCGGACAATCTGTTGGTTGGGGAAAAGAGGCTGGTTACAAGTAAGCCATCACGCGAAACCATTGGAATGAATCGAAGCCTTGCTGGCTTATTCCGAGCGCTGAGTTACACCAGTGAGAATTTCGAGCGAGTTACTGGCGCGCTGGATGAAGGAACGATCGATGCGGAGAAGATGATCACGCGTACGATCTCGATGGATAGAGTGGTGGAAGATGGTATTCTCGCGCTGCTACACGAGAAGGATAAACACGTCAAGATACTCGTCGATGTCAGAAAGTAGGATTACCGCTGTCGGATGGTAGAGTTGATGGCATGGAAGCAGGAAGAGCCGACGCGTGAATGACGCGTGACAGGAAAGCGGGGACGGGTGGCGAGCACGGGCCATGATACCGCCAAGATCTTCACGCCGGTCGCTTCCTCTCGACGTTCTCTACTTTCCCTTGCAAAGGCTGATCTCTACTGGACCTACGAGATGCTATGGCCGGAGCGATGTATATAGCCGGTCGTTTGAGCCTTGTCGTCAGCATGGTAACATTGGATCTGCGCAGCCGACTGTCCAGATACCTCCGAAGTTTCCTGTCAAGCGTTGGATCGACCTTTGCGACTGTCTCCAGACTCAAGTTCGCACCCTCTACTGGCAATACGGCTTGGTGACATGAACAAGTGGTAGCGGTGAACAGTGGGACTCGTTTGTGATTATTCTTCAGGTCGTGTGATCGTTACTAGGATCTAAGAGAGCTAACAGCTCAAGTAGCTATACCGATGTTTCCTCGATGTCTATGAAGAGACTCCTGATCTCCTTCGCTTGCATCTCCTGTTATGGTTTCCTGCAAATCCGATTGATCAGCGCGATGCTGCAGCCCCATCGGTTTGAGCCACAAGTGACTTGTGTCATCGTCGAGCCGCTCGAACCCGTCGTCGCTGACAGCTTTCGGCCCACTGGACTTGGACTCAGCATTCGATGACTTCTTTTTCCCCGACGCGTGAGGTGTTGCTGCGGAGCGACCAAGAAGTGGATGCATCAGAGGCACGCATGCGAGGACTACGGCGAGGCATGGCTCGAGGCCACTGAAGATATTGGCTTTGGGGATCGTATAGGTGATATCGGTAAAGTCCATGCTGGATAGGACGGAGATACGGAAGGCGCTGACGATACAAGTACTGCTGCGATTAGATCAGAGCTGACGACAGGATCTCATTCGGACTCACAAAATACCCAGGCCGAAAACGGCGACGAGAGTCACTCTTTTGTACGTCGCCATTTGCAGTTGATACAACGGACGCATGGGCAGAAGAAGCACCATGACGTCGGTGACCAAGTTGATGACTCCGGTAATGGTGAATGAGGTGACTTGATCGCCACAGCTTCCTCCAGGAATAGCTTTATCCCAATTGTAGGCGAAAGGCCGACAAATCAGACAGCCAGCGAGGATGGTTGCGATTGTCCAAGCAACGATGATGGACATGGTCACGTAGGAGCTCCAGACCACCCATCGGATCGGAAAGATCAGAATATACAGAGACAGAATCGAAATCTTGGTACAGCTAAGACTCAGAACCCACAGAAACTGTAGGGGTATGATGAGCTGCGAGAGCTTGGTGATAGGTTCGAGGCCGTACGCTACTACAATGTTCTGGACGTGATCGTAGCCAATGCCGGCATGAAAGACTCCAGTAATGCTGATACACTGCAGGCCGATAGCGAAAATCTGCAAAGTGTTAGTAGTGTTGGCGATATCCGGAGCTGAACTTCTTACACAGGCGGCAATGATGAAGTAGTCGGCAATTGTCCATCTTTTGTGAGCAATCGCGTGAGCGATCAGTCGTAGGGTGACGGCCAGTGCAGCAAGAATTGAGAAGCTGAATGCGACACCTAGTACTGCTCTCTGGTCATGAGTTCGAATAGGAAATGTGGTGGTCATATTGTCGTGCAGATCCCGATGCAATACTCTGGTGTGCGACTCACGCGCCGACGTCTGTATCGTCGCAGACTCGGAGGTGTATAAACAAGCTGGTCCACTGCGGGAAGATCGATCTTGGGGAGGAGCTGGGCATATGAGCTGCCGACTTCCCCGTGCGAAGCCTCGCATTTCTGTTTGCGCACCCCATGTCTTTTCCCGCGCTGATCGAGATACCCCTTGGCTTAGGATTCCAACAAGAAATCCTTCGCAGGCCTGAAGAGCCGTTCCTCACCCGACGTGCCGGCTCAGGCGTTCACCCCGACTAGGCCCACGGCACTAAAGCCGTGACAGCGGCCCCATCCGGCTAGGCTTTGGGGCATATCCTGTGCGGTGTCGTATTCTCGTTGCTGATAGGACGCGTGACCTGCCTTTCCTCTTGTACAAGACCTGCGCATGCAGGTTCTCCCATCCGAGCCTGCCCACTACGCTTCTACTCGGGGTTTAACAGTCTTAGTAGCGATCTAGGCCTAATTAGGCCTAGTAGCTACTAGCGTGCAGGGGCTCTTGCTATACTTATTATAGCCTATTAGACTAAGTTTCTTACTCTTCTACTCTACTATACTATAACTATAAGTAGCCTTAATAATTTAAACTAATTAGCTATAATAATTATAGCTAATTATCTTTAATAATTTCTCTATTTTAGCCTACTTTTACTATATAATTATTTACTATAATTACTTAAACTAGCTTACTTTTACTTTATAATTATTCTTTATAATTACTTAAACTAACTTACTTTTACTATATAATCTTTTCTAATAATATAACTAATTAACTCTACTCTATCTCTAGTCTTACTTTAGCTAATAAGTACTATTTTTATAAATATTACTAATAATATTAATACTAGCTATTTATAAATCTATCTTATTTTTAATAAATAGTAACTACTTTCTACATTATTATAGATAATTATTATTAAGATTAATATAGTAGTAAATACTAAGTAGAACTATAAAAATATTTTATATAATTTAGACTTTAAGCTTAAAACTACTCTTAAGAAAGGCTATAGTACTAGTAGTAGACGCTCTTATAAAGAAGAAAAACTATCTTACCTTAATATAGTAAATAATTTATAAGTACTAAAATTACTTATCTAGAATTATTACTAATAATATTATAGGTAGAAGGCTATTTTTAAAAATAAGTCTATTAGCCTAGTATAGTTTAAAGAGAATACTTAGTATATAAATATTTATAATAATTATAATATTATTTTTAATAATTACTAGTAAAGTTAAGTAGTAGTAAAATTATTAGAGTACTAATACTAAGTAAGTTATTATTATATTATAATTATCTAGAACGTTCTAATATTAGTATAGACTAGATAATAAAAAAGATAATAAAGTAATTTATAGTAGAATATAGCGTAAAAAAAGTTTATTATAAATAATTTTGCTATTATCTATAATAATCTAATACTTAATAGGTTTACTTCTAAAATATTACTTTTACTATATTAGTAATAAGCTAAACTTCTCTAGTAACTAAGTAAATGTTTCTAATAATATACTATTATATTCTATTATTAATAATATTTTAGATTTCTCTTAGCTTAGATAATAATAATACTCTTCTTTATAGATGCCTCTTTAAAGATACGCTTATTAAAGAATTTTTTATTATTATAGATAATAATATTCTAATTATTCTTAATAATGCTAATATATATATAAAAAGGCTATTTACTAAAGACCTCTAAGAGTAAGATTATTATAAGTTTAGTTTTATTAAATGTTATTAATAATATACTAATTATTATAGATACTTCTATTTAACCTCTATTATAGCCTTTAGAATCTTATTTTTAACCTTTAGAATATAGAGTACTACTCTAAGAATGTTAGTAATAATTTAACTTTTTCTAATTAGAATGTTGCTAATAATTATAGCTTATATCTAGAAAAGGTTAGTATAAAGCGTGCTAGGCTACCTATAAGACTTATAGTAATTATATAAAGGTTAATAATAATTTACTATAATATTCTAAATAATCTTATTCTTAGGTAAAGAGCTTATTTAAAATGTTAGAAATGTTATTATAACTTATAACTTATAACTATTCTCTTCTCTATAATACTTTTTTACCTACTTAATTATTTATAATAATCTTTATAATTATTAGAACTAAAGAAGTAGAAGTTTTGCCTAGTAAAGCGCTAGTTAAATTCTACTAATATTTAAAATATTTACAATAATTACTATAATATATAATTATACTAGTAAAGTCTAATATTTATAATAATTATAGTAATATATTAACTTACTAGTAAGCTCTAACATATATAATGTTTGTAGTAATATAGTAATATATTTACTACTTTAATAGTAAACGTATATAATATTTATAGTAATATAAATTTACTATATTAAGAATATATATATATATAACCTTTATAGTAATATATTTACTATCTTAATAAGAAACGTATATAATATTTATAGTAATAAGTATTTACTACTTTAAAGATTAATATATACAACGTTTATAGTAATAAATTTACTACCTTAATAGAAAATATATATAGTGTTAATAGGTAAGCGTTTACTATATACAAAATATATAATATATTTAATATTATACTATTAAGAACGTTAATAAAGAAAAGAGTAGTATTATATTATTATTATTAGTGTTAAGCGTAAAGATATGTTTAACTATATTACTAATATAATTATTCTAGACAAAGTAATAAGTCTATATACTTATTCTACTTTATACTTAGATTATTATTTATACTAATAAGATACTTTATAATTATTATTAATATAAACTCTATTAACTACCTACTCTATTTATATATGCGTTTTAGTTACTAATATTTATTAAGTAAGAAATACTAAATACTACCTTAATAAAATAAGTAGCTAGAGTAGTAGCTACTATTAACGTTAATATTAATAAAATAGTTATAGAAGTTCTTAATAAACGCTGTTACTATCTTATAATACGTTAGCAACGTTACTATTTAAATAATACTAACGTATATACTTATAATTACCTTTATATTTTATAGTTTAGAATAATTAAAAGTATTAAATTATTAAAAAAGATAGCTAGCCTAAATCTCTAAGATTACTAGCTACTTAAGTAATAGGTCTAGAATTAAGAGATAATGTTTACGCTAATTAACGTAAAGAATAAATAGCTTAATTTCTATATACTAGACGTTAATAGAAGTAATTATATAAAGTAATAGTATAAACCTCTATTCTAGTGTATTTTATAAAAGAAAAAAGTAAGTTTAATTATCTTTTTCTTTTTATTAATAATCTATAGTATCTATAGCTTAATTTATAGACACTTCTT